AAGCACATCGGCTTGGTCTCCCTGTGAGGGCATTGAGGCGGCGCGGACGGTGGGAGAGTCGCCGCGGCGCGGGCAAACTTGGGGCCTCAACCCGCCCCCCTGCTGTGAGGCGCGCGTGGGATAACCGAGCGTATTTATCGCTGGGGCAAGTCGAGCGCGGACCTGCCGGACATGCACAAAGTGGCGTCGCTTGGGGAACCAGACCTTTTGGAACTCGACGAAGCCGGCCGTCAGTGCGAATAGCGTGTCATCGCGCCCGCGCCCGACGTTCTCACCCGGCACAAACCGCATGCCGCGCTGCCGCACGAGGACACTCCCCGCCTTGCACTCCTGGTCACCGAGCACCTTGACGCCGAGGTACTTGGGGTTGGAGGAGCGCGTCACGCCGCCAGTGCCGCCCGCCTTCTTGCCCGCATGCCGCACCTGGCCCACCGGCGCGAGCGGCGCCGCAGCGACGAGCCGCAGCGACGAGACCCGACCGGCGAACGACGCTGCTCTCGCCAACATCGCTTGTCGCGGCGCGCTCCAGGAACCGACAATGAAAAGAATTTTACCGGCCCGCTAAAAAAGTCGAGGGGCCAGGATATGCAGCAAGGAGGGCGGAGCTGCGCCGAAAGGCGAAAGAAGCCGAGAGAACAAGGGAACGGCCGCAGGCGGCGGCGGCGGCGCAGAACGAGGCAGAGGGGAGCGACGCGACAGAGGAAGAAGCGGCAAGGGAAGCACGACGAGAAGGGGGCGACCGCGAGGTGGCACGAAGGTTGAAGCGAGAATCGGAGAGAGACTGCGAAGAGAGATAGGAAGAGGCGGACGCGGCCAAGGGTGGGCGACGGCTAGCGCACCACACCCCTCTCCTTAAAACCCCTGTGTGGTGGCGGCGTGCCGTCCTCCCATCGTGCCAGCGCAACCTGTGAGAGGCAAAGGAGCCCCGCGTCCTGGCTCCTGCTCGTTGCCTGCCGTAGCTGCAAGCGAGGTACGGTACATGCATGGCTGCCGGGAAGGGGGTGTTCGGTTGGGGGGGTTGATTGACCGACGTTCACCGACGGCGCCTGGTGCGCGAGTATTTTTTTGCGGGGTCCGGGGACCATGGAGGTAGGATTTTGGGCATTTGGGGGGGTTCCTGGCCGCCGGAAATTAAGTAGGCTCTAAGTAGCTGCCGACAGACAGACAGGGCCCGCCGCTCGAACAAACCAGTCACGGCATAGCATGGAGCAATGCATCAAGGACGTTGTGCTGGGCGCCATCCCGCCGGCGTCGTCGTAAAATTCTTTTATTGCTTGTTTCCTCGCGTAAAAGGGGGCCGCTTCGCCGACGGGTTGACCTTCGCTTTGACACAAAGACGCAAAACACCATGCCCATTCGCCGCTCCTCGAAACAGCGCAGCAACGGCAGTACCTCTGGCGCCAATCGTAGTGCGGGCAGCGAGACGGGCGTCGGCAGCGGCAGCGAGGCTCCCACTTTCACTGTGGCCGAGCTGGAGGCGCTGAGAAAAGCGCCTTTGCAGCTTTCAA